CAAGCTGCCCTACGAGGACGTGGCCATCCCCCTGGTAGGCGAAGGGAGGGGTCCCGGGAGGGCGCGCCCCCTCCAGCCCGGCCGCTGGAGGAGCTCTCGGCCGTCAGCGTGCACAGGGGCTGTTACCGAGGTGCCCCCGCCCGGCTCGCGGGGCATGTGGGTGTTTATCGGTGTGCAGGCTCGGTAACTACGAACGCCTCTTCCCAGGAAGTTTATGGCGCACTAAGTGCGTTGTACCCTTTTTTCCATTCTCAGAATGAGCTTCCCGAACCAGAACAGGACAACGGTGGCACAACCGAGTCTGTGAAAGAGCAAGAAATGAAGTGGACGGATCTGGCTCTCCAGTACCTGCATGAAAACGTTCCCCCCACAGGAAACTAGCGAATCACTGAGACTGGGTGCAATGAGTGCATGAAGGCAACACAGAAATTGTTCTTCAGCTAAGCAGGGCTGTCAGTAGTTTCTCTAAGGAGGAACAAGGCTTCTGAAACAGCCTTGTACTCAGTTAACTGTTCTACTCACAGTGATGGAAGACAGTTTAAAGTGCATCTATAATCAATGTGAAATAATTATGGATACCTGAAACTTCAGAGCTGGTATCAGAATGTTTTGCCTTCTTACACACAATTATTTCATATCTTCTGTTAACTTGTTTTTAAGTTGGTGCTGATTCTGATCTTGTTTTCTACATGCAATCAAAGAAATAATTTCTATTGTTTGGAGTTGTCCATTCATTGCAAAGCTCATGGCAAAAGCATTGGTGGCTGCAAAGGCCTATGGCCCAAGAAAGATTCCTGTGTAACTGTGGGGGCTCGTTTAAGAGTTCACTGTGAGGAGAAAAAAAAAAAAAAAAAAAAAAAAAAAAAAAAAAGAAAAGAAAAAAAAAACCCTAAAATTGGGTGGTTGCCATCTTTAATTAGCATTGACTGAGGGATGTTGTATAGGGCTGGTTAACAGCAGGAAAGGAACGGAAACTGCATGTAACGGAGGGGAGCTCGGTTTAACCTCCCTCGGGAGGTGAGGGTGCCGGAAGGGACGGCATTTCTGGGGCAACATCCTCAGTGTTCCTGCCAGCCTGCATGCTGTAATCAGACAGTCTAATTTGCACTAAAATAGTTACTTAAAGGCAGCATATTTGTCCTATTTCAGAGACACGTGAATGAGCTGTCTCACATGGGAAGCCATGAAACTGTCACCTCCTCTTACAGACAGGCCCACGACACCTATTTTATTAATTTGCATGATACCAACCACAGCAGGGGCACAGGTAATGGAGCCAGAGGTGCCTTTCCCGGCGCCTTATACACCAAGAAGGGGTTTGCCTTGCATCCCACTGCCTGGAAAACATGTGCAGCCTCTGCACAGGCCAAGAATCAGAAAGCTGGTGGGAGCAAGGCAGGGAGGAAGCGAGTGGGGCTGAGCTGAGGCCATAAGATATTACCTCGTTTTATACAGAGAAGATAGGCAAGGGCCTCCGCCTGCCTTCTCCCATTTCCTCTCTGATTCTCAAATGTCTTTTGCAATTAGCAAAATCCTTCTGCTCATCTTGTGTGTTTCACTGTTGTTGGACTGATTCCTTCACATCATTGGCAGGATTTGCTAAGGAGAAAATATTTTGACAGTTTAGGATTAGTAGTAGAGAAATTGAGAAAGGATTTGGAAGAAAAACAAGATTTCAAATAGTTTTGCTTTGCCAGTGCATCAGGAAAAGTTAAAAAAAAAATCCTTGAACTTACAGCTTCCAGACTCTACAGGAGTTTTTCTGGTGTCCTTTCTCAAGTGTTTATCCTCTTGAATATTATCAGAGCCCAACTTTAGCCTTTGTGAGTATGCAGTGGAATTGCAGTTTAGTGCAGGGCTTGCCGAGCTGCACAAGGACAAGACAGACAGACCCTTGCTGGCTGCGCCCCTGTGCCCATGGCACAGGCAGCCTAAGCATCAGGCAAGCAGCACCAATGCAAAGCAGCTGGAAATGGAGATTAACCCAGGAATCAGCAATGGGAGGTGTCACCTGTGCTCAATGAGATGGTTCTGGTCCTCTCCCTCTTCCCTGGCACAGGTTAGAAGAATTTACAATGAAAACATTAAGCAAAGCAGCCACAACCAGTCATAAAACACGTGGAACAGCTTCTGTCCATCTCTACTCTCTGCCTTCTTTCTCCCCTTCCTCACTCCCTGCCCTTCTGATTTTCCCAGTTTTGTCATTAGCTCTTCCAGCTCTGACTCAGATGCCCTTTTCTACCTTTTCATCCACCATCCTGGATCTCCCACCCAGGAAGGAAAACAGCACTTCTTAATCGGACTGTATTCATGAGGTTCCAGCAGGGATGCCAGATGTATGAATGTCACCCTGCTGGCAGCAGCTGGCCGCCAACAGGGACACAGGCTGAATTGACACTCGTACCTTCACTTTGTCACAACGCAGCGCGGTCACATCTGCCTTCTACCTCCGATCACGGATTTGGAAGAGGGGAAGATGTCAGGCCAGAAGAGCCAGAGTGCAGGAGAGCCAGGGGCTGTGGGAATGTGGGGAACATCCTGATTGCTCCCAACTGAGGAGCTGAGAAACAAGTGCTGGCCCTGCCCAGATGGGTATCAGGTGAACAGTAACAACTACCTTCTCTGCTGCCCTTGGCATTGTTTGCAAGAGACAGACGTGCAATAATTTCCTTAATTTCAACACATCTATTCAAAGTGCTGCTTACAGTATGTTACCAAACCACTTGTGTCTTTGATAAGCCACTGCCCAGGGCAAACCATATTTAAAATGAGGAATCCTGTCAGGATAGATGGTGCCTCACCCTTTTTGAAGTAGTAGCTGTGGGTGTATAACTAAAAACTGGCCTCCAGTTCTTGGCTGGCGACTTCCTCCTTTCACCACACCTACCATTGCAGGGAAAAGAGAGAAGAAAAAAAAAAAAAGAGCAAGTTGTTGCCAGAGACAACTATTCATCCTAAAGAAACAGTGGGAGCTTTAAAACTTTTTGCCCTCAGAAGTTCCACGTGGAAGTCCGTATGCTGAGACTGCGCATCACGTTCATCTACCTTTTGTGGGGGGTGAAAACAGGTAGGAATCCAACCATTTGCTTTGAATATTTTTGTCAGATAAAACGTTTTCTGTGCTTTGCATTAACATACCTATCCTCTAAAACTTCTGTGCAGGGCTTTTCCACTATTACTATTTACTTTGGAAAAGCAAACTATACTGGTCACATGAGTGCTATCCAATTATAAAACTAGAAGTCCTTTTTATTCTCTTTTCCTCACTTTGCAAACATTTCTTATATAAGTATTATATAATTACACTGAAAATGTGCTTTGAAATATTCAGAGAAGAACCATTTCTTGCCAGCAGTGTCTTCTATGACCAACACAAAGGGCTTCAGAGTGAGTTTTGCAAAGGATAAATCAGCATTCATAAACACATAACTTCATTTGATATCCTCCTAGCCCCATCAAGAATAATTCTGTATAGTAATAAACAAACATACTGCCTTCTGTTAGCAGCCACATGGGAGCAAGTTGCTTGGTTAGTCATGTTACAGCTCTCTGCTTTGTAAGGAAAACACACAGGATTGAAAACAAAACAGAAAACATACAATATTCTTAGAAGTACAGACTAGCATTTCAACAGGTCCCTGGAAAAATTGTGAGGTTTCATTTATTCATCAATCTATGCAAATGCAGTAGGAACTGTGGGAAGAGGAAATAATTAAAAAAAAAAAAGTGTGAAAAGGCACCAAAAGAAACCCAGTCAAATAATGAAGACCATACAAGAGGTGGGAGAAGAGGACTAAGATATCAGAGCACCTTGCACAGGAAATTAGCATTTACCATCCTACATTATACGTAAGAAAACTGAGCAGAGGGAGAAAAATAAATTGCCTGGGGCTGTCCAGCAAGCAGATGGTCAAGGCAGGGCTAGGAGGAGATTGAAGGGTCACTGGTTGGTTTCCACCTCACTTGTTTGGTTGTAGAGCTGATCACAGTACGTTGCCTCATCAGAGCTCCCGGTGGAGCTAGACTCCGCCAACCATTCGGGTAACATTCGCTGTTGCTATCAGGACGAGGAGCAGAGCCAGCATAACCAGCTGTCCCCATGTGCCAGTTTTCCTACCTCGTGCTGGAGGAGCCTAGGATCTGCACCAACCTGCCAGGAGAGAGGTTGGCAGGTTCCCCCACAATTAGCACTGACCTCATTTGGTTAATCAAAATAAATCTCATACACTTGGTGCAGATGCCACAAGGCTTTTTAAACGCTTCCTGTGGTAGGAATGAGCAAATGCCCACGAGCTCCTCAAAAGCTCTTCTTTACCCAAAGGTTTGGGCTGCTCTGGTGACTAACTATTCCCCTGAGCGAGTCTCTGCATAGTGCAGGAGCTATAGGAACAAATTAAGCAATGAGTACAATCTCGTACCATGTAGGAATAATTCTTGCCTGGCATTTCTGTCTGCTTAGGTGGCAGTAAAGATGATTAACAATACTCTACAATAACATTATGCAATAACTAAACCAATATCTAGTTATTAATCAAAAATATATTTTTTTTCATGTTACAGTAGTGCCTAGAGGCGCGTCGCTGAGAGCACTATGCATATTGACGTATGTCTGCAGAAATGATCGCCTCTTTCTGCTAGTTACTTCCAGACGTGCGGATAAGCAGCCTAATAGGAGAACTGAGTCTCTCCGGAGCGTCTGGGCACTCAGACCGGGGGCAGAGCTGGCAGAGCAGGGGACAGGCGCCTCGGTCACCGGTACTCGTGCAGTCACGTTGTCCCCAGGAACTCTGCTCAAAGTACTACAGGAGCAGAGCCTGCTGATCGAAGGGCACTGGTTTCAATGAGGGCCTGGCTGCGAATGCAGTTTCCTCTGCTCTCATCTCGCTTTTCAGATTTTACCATAGGCTTATGCAGGAAGGGCTCCATGGATTTCAATTATTAAAATGTATTCCTGAATTTATGATAGCAATTTAAAATATCCAGTTGGACTTAACTGCAACATCCTCTTTGCTTATCCACATTTATTCGGGAGTTCCATATCACTTCCATGTCCCCGATTTCCATAGGAGGAGAGAAGTTCCTTGTAAAATTGTGACAGATGTATCATTTAGGGTACAGCTACGCACAGCTTACACTCGTAGGTTTTTCTAAGCCTCTTCCACCTACTGCACTGCCCTTGTAGCATCAAAGGTCTGGCAGATCTCTAGCAATCCAGGCTGAACAATTTTTGCTGCCCAAGTTCAAAAAGGGCGGGTGAGGAGGACTGTGAGGCTACAAAACCTGGAAGGGCCTCCAGAAGCGGCGCCTGTCAGGAGATGGGCTCTGATTCACGGCCGTTGCCCTGTTGGAGGCTATTGGACTCTGAAGGCTCAGCTGGTGGCCTGCAGAAAAAGCCACCAACGAAGGCCAAGACCACCACGTGAAGCAGCAGTTAGAAAAGTTCAGGAGGTCTCCAGCTCCATATAAAGCAGCACCAGTAACATTTCCCATGCAGTCAAGGGGCTCCTATTCATGGCTAGCAATGGCACCCGGCGTCTGCAAGTGCAAATGAAGCATTGAGCTGTCCCTCACAACAGCAGGGCCCCGCAGAGCGTGTCAGCTCCGGGCTGCGGTGCCTGAGAAACAAAACACAGCCACATCTCCTCCCTAGAGCGTGTCCACAGCATCTGGGCCTGCTCTCAAAGCCATACAGCAACCGCTAACGCCCCTCCTCAAAAGGGTTCTCAGAAATTTCCCCTGGATGATGTTCAGCTTCCCAACTTGAGACACCATGACAGCAGCACAGCCATTAAATCTCAGGAGAGCCCTTTCTGGGAGGGATGGATGTTACGTGTAAATAATGCACAGGCGAACACCAAGGCACCGTGGCAGGGCACACGTGTTGCAAGGCAGTTATGGAAAATTGAGGATAAAGCCCAAGTGCCAGAGCCTAGTCCCTTCCACATGAAACTTCCATAAGAAATGTTAATGATATAGGGTTGAGTCAAGCGAGCAGCCACATGGTCACTCTTCGGCAGCAGGTGCTGGTTTGCAGTGTGGGGCCTTGTCACAATGTGGCAAAACTCCCTAATTTTCAGGGTAACTCTAGCCACAACACGGTGGAGAGCAGGAGAGCAGTCCAGCTCAGGGAGCCTGCAAAGCTCGCGCTGCAGCCTGGGCAGGGCTGGCAGGCAGGAAGGTGCCCGGCCGAGGTCTCCTGGCGCCAGGCTCGCCACTCTGTGCTCTTTGCAGGTGCTGAGGAGCCATGTCCTGCATTCACCAGCCTCAGCCTGGGCAGCGCTTTCATAGGGACAGACCTGCACGTGAAGCTAATGCTCTACACCAGGCAGAACCCACACTGTGCCGAACTGCTCAACTCAACAGCCTCCAAGTATCTAGATGTAACCAAGAAAACCACCTTCATTATCCATGGATTCCGCCTCACGGGCTCTCCCCCGCTCTGGATCCCCGACTTGGTCCATCTCCTGCTGTCTGCGGAAGACATGAACATCGTCCTTGTGGACTGGAACCGAGGGGCAACAACTCTCATATACAGCAATGCTTCCAGAAACTGCAGGAAAGTTGCTGAGATTCTGAAGAGACTTATCGATGAAATGTTGGTAAGTTAGAGATTCAGAATATGACATAAAGTACAGTATGCAAAAGGCCACAAGGAAGTGTTTAAAGACAGCTGAAGGCTGCTGAATTTCCACCTCTATGCATTTTTTAGTTCTATTTATTTCATCTTGACATTTTTACACCTTCATCTATGATCCTGGGTATTCTCAAATCGCAGATTGCGGGAGCATCCCTGGACTCCTTCCACCTGCTAGGGGTAAGCCTGGGAGCGCACATATCTGGCTTCGTGGGCCAGCTGTATGAGGGCAAACTCGGCCGAATCACCGGTAAGTCCTTCCTTCCACTCGGGATGCGGCTGCCCGGCATTGAGCTGGGCCACACACACGGGTCCGTGTTGCAGGCCTCGACCCGGCGGGCCCTTTGTACAGAGGGAAGCTGCCCAGTGAGAGGTTAGACCCTGGGGACGCGCAGTTTGTTGATGTCATTCATTCGGACACCGATGGTGAGTGCCACCTTGCTTCCTTGCCTAGAGCCGGATGGGGAGCGCAGGGGCGGCGGGGCTGTGCTGTCCTGGGGGTTCCTTGCTCGCTCCGTGGCCAGGACTCCCGCCGGCACCGCTGCTGCGCTTGCATTGCAAACACGCTGTCCTGCAGCCCAGCAGCTCCGTGTGGCCAGCGCAGCTAGAGGACACAACCCCCAGTGCTGTGGAAACAAGCCGAAGACTCCAGGAATATATGGGCAAACGGCATTACAATTCCCACCCGGGCACCCGAGAGCTAAATAACTGTTGTTTTATTCCACTTGGTTTCTTATGTTTCTTTTTTCCTGTGTTTTATGGTTTAATAAACCCTTCCCTCCGTATTTCTTTCGCCAGGACTAGGTTACGGAGAAGCCCTAGGCCACGTAGACTTCTACCCCAACGGCGGCACTGACCAGCCAGGCTGTCCGCAGACAATATTTTCTGGTAATTAATTCAGCCCTGAATTGCAAAAATACTGACAAAATATTTCCGGTCAGGAAAAGGAGGAGAAGGCCACAGAAATATCATCACTCCTAGAAAATATATAAGAAGAGTTTTCTGGAAAGGCACAAAAGCAATCCCTTCCCAGCAGTGATGCGGCACCCTGACACAAGAGGCACTGAGGTGATGAGTATAAATAGAAACCTGCCCTGGAACAAAAATGCATAGGGAAAGGGGCTTCGCTTATTTTGCTGCTCTTGGAACATGGTTTATGTCTTTCTAAAGGGCATTTTTTTTTAAGCAGAAATTGCAACATTCTGTGCCAAAGATATGCAGTATCCCACTGTCATGCCTGGGCTTAGAGAGAAGACAAAATCTGAGGTGGAGCAGGATCTATGGCAGAAGCCTAGGGAGCTGTAGGAACAGCAGGAGCGAGAACACTTTTAAAAAATAAAGTAGACAGGAGGAAGGCTAAAGTAGATGTTGGTAGGGCTGAGTGCACTAGAGGAGGAGGCTGGTGCCTATTTACTGTTCCACCACAGCCCAGCGCTTCCCATTTTCATCTGCTCTGTGGCTGCCCACTGGTGTGTCCTTTTTGGTCAGTAAATTAATGTGTTCTCCTGAAGCATGAGGGTTGCTTATGAAATATTTCTCCTCTCTCTGCCATTAAGGATTGCAGTATTTCAAATGTGACCACCAGAGGTCTGTTTTCTTGTTCATATCATCCCTGAAAAAGAGCTGCAATATCACTGCGTACCCGTGCGACTCGTACAGGAATTACCGGAAGGGCGAATGCACCAGCTGCAAAACTTACTGGCCTTTGCCGTGCCCCATCCTCGGTAAGGAAGATGCCAAGTGTGAATCCAGGGAACGGGAATACTCGTGTCTCAGGTAGCTGCCTGCTCTAACTTTTAATCCCTCTATGTGACTGCGACAACTATTCTGCTAAGGGATTAAACTAACATTGTGCTTTGCCAAAGCATCTACATTATTACCACTGTGGTTTGGGGGATGATTTCTCCTTGATTTTGCAAGGTACAAGCCTCTCTGCAGGCAAAAGAGAAGCCTGAGAGGTTCCCCTGCTCTTTGTATGGTCACATCACACGATAACCGAGAGAGAAATCCACACACAAAGGATCTAGAGCTAGACACGCCACAGCGAGACTTGGTATCATTGGGCAGAAGCCACAGCAGCAGTGAACTGAAGTCCATTAGCTGCAGATTTTGAGGGATAAGGGCACGTTCCTGCTAAAATATAATCTTTTCTAAGAAATTTTCAGCACCACCCACCCAATTCTGACTATGAGAGGAATGGCAGAGAGGCAAGTCTCAGAAAAGCAAAATGCGGAGTCCCTGGCTGGGTGGACAGCACAGCTTCAGACTCTCATGTCAAAAATTTTGATGCCTGGCACTTCTAGAAATGAGCTTTTAAAGCTCAGCAGATTATTTTCATTCTGGACCACAAAAGACTTCTTGACCAGAGCTAGGAGAGGTGAGGAAAGATGAATCTTAAAATAAGTGATAAGCAACCAGATATATTTAGATACAGAGTTGGCTCTAGTTACACAAATAGAATTAAAATTGCATAAGTGTACGGTGCACAGGAGTATTTTTCCAGTACTACCTTGCAGCTGAAAAGCAACAGAGTATTCCTGAACACCTGCTTTACATTTTCACTTATTTAACTGCTTTTATATCCACACAGTAACCTCCTGCTTCCTGTCTGTGCTGTCATCTCTAGGTTATTACGCCGATAGATGGAAGAGCTATTTCACACAACCGAGTCCCTTGGGGACTAGCCTGTTTTTTGACACGGCAGACAAAGAGCCATTTTGCAGTGAGTACATTTGGGAAGTGATTTTTGTGTCCTGCCTCCTTCAGCAACAGTGGAGGAGAGACAGGTAGTCGCTATTGGCACCATCCCCAGGCAATATTTTAGAAATATGGCTGGTGGCTGCTGCCTGCCCATCTGGAACGGAGATGGGCCAGGACAGGCGCATCTTCCTTACTGTATTATCTCCCTCACCTCACAGTTTATCACTACTTCTTGGATATTGTTACGTGGAACAAAGATACCAGGAGAGGCACCTTCAGCGTTCTGCTGGCTGATGAAACAGGGAAGAAAGCAGAATCTAAAGTCATTCCGTAAGTCTTAGCGAGCCCAAATGACGGCAAAACCCAGCCCTGCGAGCCGTGACCATACCCAGGCCACCTGGACAGCTGTGTTTGGTGTCGGTTGGCTCTAGTCCCCCCGGGTCAAGGCAGAATTGCAATGAAGATTCCACTTAGGGACCAGAGTAAACAGCACCAGAGTGCTGTGCCCTGTGAATAACTGAGTCCTCCTTCCCCAGCACTTTCTAATTCCCCAGTGAATTTCTGTCACCTTGTGTGTTTTATCTTTAGAGCAACTGCAGCCTTTCAGCAGTACAACCAAATCCCTCTGCTAATTGGTTTTGACCAAGATCTGGAAAACATACAGAGAATTTCCTTGACGTTTTCCACTGGATCCGTCATTGGCCCGAAGTTCAAGCTCCGGGTCCTCCGAATGAGGTTACGATCGATTACCAATCCCGAAAGGTAAGCAGAGAACAGCAAGTCAAACTAGACAGAAGTAAGTGAGTGTCCTCGGGTCCTGGCCTAGCTGAGTCCAGAAGAATTACATTTATTTCACACTTAGTGATTCATGCACTCCTTGAGTACCTTCTGCCTTTCACAGGTGCACACAAACCCCACATTTGAACACCTATTGCAAAGCAAAATTTGCTTTCAGAAGTTGCAGAATGTGGTCTGGCCTTTTAACCTTTGGTCAAGAAACTAAGTTCTGACCTTAGATAAATACTAAGAGTTAAGTTTCTCTGCAGTGAATTGAGGGCTGTACCCTTGCCCTAACCTTGCTCCTCCCAGCGCTCCCTTTTCCTGCACATGGAGCAGAATGGGAATGCACTTGAAGCACCTCCATCCTGCTAGGATTTCATTCCTCAGGAGCCTGCCACGTGCTCTGCAAACCTTCCTTATTCCATAGAAACCTGGAAAGCTTAACTAGGAGAGGAAAAACAAACAAACAAACAAAAGGCAAATCTTTCATTATGGTTTTTGATGCAGAGCTCAGCTATGCAGGTACGACCTGGTGCTGCTGGAGAACACCAGGACAACCTTCCAGCCCATTCCCTGTGAGGGCGAGCGTTGACGCCCGGCCGGGCTCTCCCGCCGTGGCAGGATCACGGCACTCACCTTCATGCTCCGCAGCATCTTCCATGCAGACCCAACACCAGCAATGAGGACAGCTTGGATGTTTTCCCACTGCGCTTCCCCTGCAGAGCCGGAAGGCCGATGGGCTCCAGGGCTAGTCACACAGGGCTGTGACCACGCGCTGGGGAGCCACGTGGCACTGCTGGGAAGCGCTGGGCGCAAATAAAACCTCGTGTTCCCAGGGGACTCGGTGTAACGAGGAACAGGCACGAGGGACCGGGGGGTTAACGCCGTTTGAGGGGGGAGGCATCACGTCTATGGGGACGTCGGTCACCGCGAGCGGTGTCCCCGCTAACCGGCGCTTACGTGCAGGGTCGCGGCTCCCGACAGGCAC